CCCAAAAGTTAAAAGCAGAAAGGCTCAGAGCTCTCCAAAGCATTGCTTGACGTTAGGGAACGATGGGGCAAAGCATGAAATTAAAAAAATAATCATTGGTTTATTTGATGTGTGTGAATGTTTGCCTGCACGTATGACTGTGTCTAAGGAGGCCTTAGGTGTCTAGGGAGGCCAGGGAGGTGGATCACCTAGAACTGGAGTCACAGATGGTTGTGAACCAACATGTGGGTGTGAGGGATTGAACTTGGGTCCACTGAGCCAAGCATTTGGGTCAGCTGAGCCATCTCTCTAGTCCCACAGCATGGAGTTTTGAAGAAGCAATTACGTTTAATTAACAACCCTAAGGCTGGGCACGGCGGTGCTTGATTGGAGTCCCGGCACTCAAGACTCTGAGGCAGAAGGATCATGGGCTACAGAGGGAGTTCTAGGCCAGCCTGAGTTACACAGAAAGACAGGAAAATCACTAGGACATGAGAAGAGAGAGAGTCTGATTGAAATTTCCTACCAGTTGAGAAGCAAGAAACGTGATCAATAGCATCGCTCATGAAAGGCACGGCCATAGGGTTAATATTCCTTTCATGGAAAGATATTTTCTGGTAAAGCAGCAATGACCCAGGCACAAGACCTGAATGCACATGACCTTGGATAGAGCCTCATTCATTTCCTCAGATGTTGCCTGAGAATCTCAAACAACCTTTGTTTGTTTACAGTGAGGATAATCTACCTCCAGAACTCCTCCTGGACTAGATTTACCTCACCAGGCACCCTCAAGAGGCACCAAGTGGTAAGATAGTAGCTTCATCAAAATCCTGTAGACTATTATAAAAACTGAACGGTTGTGGACATGGTAGCAAGACAACTATTAATCCCAGGATCAGGAGGCAGAGGCTGGCAGGCAGGCAGGTCTCTGTGAGTTCCAGGCCAGCCAGCACTACACAGTGAAACCCTGTCTCAAAACCAAACCAAACCAAACCAAAAACAGTGAACCGTGGCCATCTTTAAGAAGCCCATACCCAGGCCGGGTGGTGGTGGCACAGGCCTTTAATCCCAGCACTCCAGAGGGAGAGGCAGACAGATCTCTGTGAGTTCCAGGCCAGTCCAGTCTACAGAGCAAGATCCAGGACAGGTACCAAAACTACACAGAGAAACCTTATCTCGAAGAACAAACAAAAAAAAGATGTGTACAGTTCACTAGTTTGTGCATATGTAGATATCCTGTTGGAGTTCAGGGGCTGGAGTGGTGATGCTTTCACAGTTAAGAACCTGAACTAGGCCTACTGAGGCCCCTGAATTTGATTCCTACCACATACATCAGATGACTCAACTGCTTATAACTACAATTCCGCTGGATGCAAAGCTTCTTGCCTCTACAGGACACCTGCACTCACTATTGCGTAACATCAACATGCACACACATACTTACATATAATTAAAAAGAATGATAACAAAATAAATCTTAAAGCTCTAAATAACTTTTTTTCTTTTGTTTTGTTTTTTCATTGTTTGAGACAAAGGTTCTCTGTGTAG